AGCAAGCAGCGCCGTAACGGGCTATTATATACAGGTCAATGCCAAACACTAGTTAATGAAAATTAGATTAATCATTCTTCTTCCCGGGTTCTCGGGGATTCGCTCTCCAGCCTGTCCTGACACCGATACAGATCGCCCTGCCGCACAAATGCTGCCCGCCGCAGCTCCCGGGCCCCACCGCTCCAGCGTCCCTATTCCCAGCCGATTCACGTCTTCAAGGACAATTAATTTGCCAGAGCAGCCTGAATTCTATTTTCATTGCCTTCCTCCTTGCCTGCAGCTGAGCTCTGACTTATTGACTGTGAAGTAACAGCGGGGTCTTTAAAAGTTCAAGGCGCAGGGTGTTTTTCTGCCTGCTTTTGCCTAGCTGACTCCCTCTGTCATCATCTTCCCCAGCACCATTTCACGGGGAAGAGGCACGTGACGTCCAGCTAAGCTGTGAACCACAATCACGCCGGGGATAATGTTTACGTTTGACTTTTCCTCAAGCTGATAAGCTCTCTCCAGTTCCCCTCTCCATCACGTTGGTATGGATTGAACTGCTTGTGCCCCACGGGGTGGAATTCTTCGCTTATCTCTAATCTGCTCACTGAAAAAATTGCTTCCAGCAACCCTTCAAAAGTCACTTCACAGTTATCGCTGCAAAGAGGGAAGGGCTGCAGTACCGCTCTCCGTCTGTCGCAACCAAGGCTCTCCCGGTGCTGTCTGCAGGTGGCCTTACAGGTGCCGCCAGCACCCAGCACGCTCGGCTGGGGCCGGCATCTCCGCTTTGCTACCTCCAGCTCTGGGTGCAGCGAGACAGCTGGTGAACAAGAGCATAAATACCTGTTAAACCCTTCCAGCTCCCGAAAGCGGAGCAACTCAACCCTGAAGAACACGCTGGAGGCTTACACCCAGGCTCTAAGCCCTAAGTGACAGGCAGACTGCAACAGCAGACAGGAGACATGGAAATAAGTCGGACGTCAACTCCACTTCCCCAGCGCGCTGAGAATTTCCACCCTTGCAAGGAGACGGCGGGGAGCAGCTTTGCTCTCAGTTCCGTACCAACAGCTCGCCGGTAACTTGAGGGCCCTTGGAGAAAAGGAGGTTTCCAGGCCCTCGGTCTCTGGGCTGCACCTGGGCAGAGGGGCGGTGACGTGCCCTCTCCTCACCCAGCCGGTTCTGGGGGGGACCCAAGCCTGAAGGCCCCCGGTGCTCGCCTGTCAGCCCGCACGCACCTCGCGCTGCCGCACAGCGGGCCGACAGCTCTGCCCCCGCACCAAAGCCAGCCCGCTGCCCCTCCCACCCCCTGCAGCCCCAGCCCAGGGCAAGAGGGTGCGAGTTTGGGGAGGAGGCACAGCACACTGACACCAGGCAGATTTTGAAACTCCCTTTTCAACCACAGGGGTTAAAAAACTTCCTAAAAACCTCAAAGCTGGGTTCTCGGAAATGGACAGACTGCGCCTGTGTGTTCACGCGTGCGCCCGGCTGCTGGCACTAAATGAGTTTTTCCCCCAAATCATACAGGAGACTTCCAAAAGCTCCCTTCAGAAGACCCTCCACGCCTCAGGCCAATCTCTGGTCAAGGTTTACCTGACATT